TGTATGGATTCTCACATTAGACAAATTAAATTGATACAAAAGATAATGCATGTAAGCAAATTTGTGTTCTCAGGGTGTTTACTTAATAACAAGGAAATGGGAAGATGCATTGAAAGAAAACTTAAGCATTCATTTTCTTCATTAAGATATTTGGAATATCTAAAGATTAAGATTGCTTAAAACTCAGTTGTTAATTACAATATGAAGGGGGAAAAGTTTGTTAGACTTAAGTTCTTTAGTCCACAACTCACTTCGTAATACTAAAAGGAAGAATTATTATAAAACCATTTTTCCAATTTCCAATAAATGTTAGACTATCTGTCAGTTTGATTCTTTAAATCCCAAACATGTTATGTAATGAAGGTAAATATACTGAAAAATTTAATGCAGATGAAAAAACTAAGTATGATCAGTTTAGGTATTCAAAGTAAACAATCTGAAAAACATATATGAATAAGAAAATTGTGAAGCAATGAAAATGGTATGTACATTTTAGTGAATGAAAGAAAAAGAATTAATACAATTCTCCCTGCATCATTCAAGAAGGGAAATTTAATGTATCGATACCATTTTTGTGATCTTCGGTATCGGGAAGATTCAAAATGTTGGATGTATGTGTTTCATGTGCATATGTATGTATGTGTGTGGTATAACTTCATCACTCAATACCAATTTTATACGTATATGTATATACTATGTATTTTATCGTATATTTTTCATTTCTTGTCTTGTTTTTAAAATTGGGTATCGTATATTGGGATCAATTCAGAAATGTTGTATGTGCATTTCGAATCTATCCCAATTATAGAGAGTACCCAATTTTTAAAAACTAGACATGAAACTGAAAATAGACATGTTAAAATTATGTTTGAGTGATGAATTTATCCCAAAACGTAGTTTCAAGAGCATAAATATCAAGAGATGCAAAAAGACTAACTGTATGTATGTTTCAATAATTTTGTAATTCAAGGAAGTTGTAAGTCTTTTTGGTATTACTGATAAAGATAAAGAGCAAGATTTATAACATTTCTCTCATCGTTAAGATCCGAAAAGTTAACAACGATTAATTCAATAGCAAAAGAGAAAATAGCACTTTTTCAATAATTTTATTTTGTTAAAATGAGAGAAAATTAAGTACTGCGTACTCAAATAAATTAAGGTGGAATGACCACCTTGTCTTCATGGGAATACAGATCTAACTTTTACTTATATTTCATACTTAAGCAGATTGTCTAAATGTTCTCTATATTCTTATTGTAGAGAGCTCCAAACACTTCTTCTCCGCATTTAATGTGATTCCCTTCAAAATTTTGCATGTTGCGTAAATGTTTCGAAGTTGCACCCACGGAGTATTAGTATACTCCTAGTTACACCCTATTTTAAAACCTTTTTCGCAATACATGCAAATCACACACTCTTCCGAAGAAGACATGCCGTACGCATCAATCACTACCAAAACATACACTGTCAGATGATAGTCAACAGTTAAAATGGACCATCGCGTCAAAGAATATGTTCAACTTTCTTTGATCGCGTCACGTAACAGAAGACCACGCCCACAAGCTGATGTCATCGAGAAGTCTAATTTAATTGGCTAGCTACATGAGGGTACAGCGCGGAGTCTAGCTTTTCGTCGCAGGCAGGCAGGCGATTCCGCCATTAAAACGATGACGCGATTCAAAGATGTTTGCTTGTAAAATGCGATTCCTTCTCTTCGTTTGTAAATAATCTCAATTTGTAAATAACATTTTTGTAAAAAAATTCATCTATTTCCTTCTATGTATGTAATTACTTTGTAGTTTGTAGCAACTATTCATGTTTCATTAAATATTCAAGTTATTTGTAAATTGGACTAGTTTATTAGCCCCTAGACAGCCACATCGGAAGTAAGTTTATGAACATCATATTCCTAGACAGTAAGTACCGATTCTACAGATTTGGGTGCTCAGGCCGGTATGAGCCTAGGAAGAAGCATTATGAATATTACAAAATAAGTAAGTTTTGTTTCGATTATTTCCACATTGTTACTTCTAAGAATAGTGTTCTATGATATTGTGAATTAAGATGACTACCTTAAATTCTATTCCTAGAATTTCAAATTCTTTAAAGACTGGGCCTACTAAGACAATTAAACTTTTACATCAAATTGTGTTTGGAACTTTGGTGATCGAAAAATAGAGCTAGATTGCGTAACTTTTGCAGTTTTCCATCTGATTTTAATATTGAAGAAACAAAACAAAATTACTATTAAACTTTTACTGCAAATGATTTTATTTCTGTGTGTGTAATTTGTTTACATCTTAATTATGACTCAAATCCTGATAAAAACTGTGATTTAATATTGAATAGTCTTTGTGATTTTAAGCTTTTAAAATCCGAAAGTGATGACGATGAGGAGTATCTGAAAACGAAGTGTTTATGATTCTGATAAAAATGATATTAATTCTGTTCGGTCCGAATCACCTCCCATAAATAACTCAGTGAATAAAAAACATTATAATGCCTAGCAATATTCCTTACATTTTCGTGATATTTTAGAAACTGTTTCTGAATTTAATGGCACTTGACATATCCAGTTGAATCCTTCATTGGTGATTTAGAAGAATCTTTTAAATTATTTAAGTTATCGAATTACAGAAAATTGTGTTTGCTAAAAAATTGCTTACTGGTTCTGCTAAAGTATTCATTAGGTCTTTGAAAGTATACTATCATGGACAAATTAAAGAAAATCTTTTATCTGAATTTGGTTCTAAAATAAACAGTGCACAGCTTCATAATTTGTTTACAGAAACGACACTAAACCTGGTGAATCACTTTCGAATATTTAATTGCCATGCGTGAAATAAGCCAGTCGTGGTTCTGTTGATGATTCATCAATTCTTGATTATGTAATCAATGGGATACCAGATCAGAGTAGTAACAAAATTGTTTTGTACGGGTGTAAAACTATTTCTGAATTCAAAGAGAAATTAAAAATTTATGATAAAATTCGCGTTCCGGATACGAAAAATAAGGGTTATTCAAGTACTAACACACAAAATAAAACACGTGCTGTACTTAGTAAGATTAAAGAGCCAGGTGTTATAATTGTGGAAGTTTTGGCCATAAGTCGAATTTTTGTAACAATAAGAGTAAAGGATTTAAGTGTTTTAAATGCGATTTGTTTGGACACAAAGCCGTAGATTGTTCGAAAACATCATCTAAAAATATCCAAGATGCCAAAGCTGTTACTCCAATAACTCAGACTTGTCAGAAAGAAATGCATAAAATTGTTAATTTGGGGAATTTGCAAATTGATGCTTTAATAGATACTGGTAGTCGGGTAACGTTAATCCGAGAAGATATACATAGGAAGATAGGTTCTCCTGAACTTAAGTCGGCAGATCTACAGTTAACGGGGTTTGGTAATGGGAAAATTAAGCCTATAGAAAGATTTGAAGGTGAATTCGAAATTGATGGTTCTTCATTTCGATCAAATATTTGTGTTATCGCAGAAAACGAAATGTTTTTACAAGCGATCATTGGTACTGATATTATAAGGCAGGGGAATTAACTGTAAATAAAAAAGGAGTCGAAATTAGAAATTGCAACCTGAAAACTATTTGATGTGCATTCGTGATATTTATAATGACGAGGAAATTGATTTAAGTCATATCAAGGACGGAGTACATAGAAATGAAATACTACACTTGGTAAGGAATTATGAGCCGAATAAAATAAAAACATCTGGCCTGAAGATGCGAATAGTGCTGACAGATCAACTTCCAGTTTATTGCTCGCCGCGACGCTTTCCCCCAGCTAAGCAGCGTGAAATTGATAAACAGATTTCGGAGTGGTTGGAGAAACAAATCATTAAACAAAGCTGTTCTGATTACGCAAGTAATATCGTGCTAAGTAGAAAAAAATGTGGCTCATGGAGACTTTGCGTGGATTATCGGCGCCTGAATAAAAAAATAATTCGCAATCGCTTTCCTCTGCCATTAATTGATGATGTTATTGATAAATTACAAGCAGCAATGGTATTTACAACACTAGATTTAAAGAACGGATTTTTTCATGTTGAAGTGGACGAAGAAAGTAGAAAATACACATCTTTCGTGACACAAAACGGACAGTATGAATTTCTGAGGGTCCCGTTCGGTCTTGCCAACAACCCAAGTGTTTTCCAAAGATACATCTACGACATATTTCGTGATCTTTTAAAGAACAATATTGTTGTAATCTATATGGACGACATCATTATTCCTTCCGAAAATGAAGCTCAGGGAATTCAAAAATTGAAACGCGTATTACAGACTGCATCGGAATATGGACTAGAACTAAACATTAAAATGTCAATTTTTGAAGCGCGAAATCGAATTTTTAGGACACAAAATTAAAGATGGGAAATTATATTCTTCTTCTTCTAAAACGAAAGCAGTAATTAACTTTCCAGAACCTAAATGTGTAAAAGATGTTCAAAGTTATTTAGGTTTAACTGGTTACTTCAGAAAATTTATACCTAATTATTCATTAATTGCAAAACCGCTTAGTGATTTACTGAACAAAGATTCTAAATTTAAATTCGAAACTAAAAACTTTATGCTTTTAACGAATTGAAACGCATTTGACATCAGAACCTGTTTTGTGTATTTATAATCCGAAAGCAGAAACCGAAATACACACTGATGCTAGTGCTGACGGTTATGGTGCGGTTCTGTTACAGAAATCCTTAATTGATAATCAGATGCATCCGGTTTATTATATGAGTAGGAAAACGACAGACATTGAATGTAAATATTCGAGCTACGAATTAGAGGTTAAAGCAGTAGTAGAAGCTCAGACTTCAAATTAAATTTAAAAATTCAGGGTGTACGTATTAGGCATACCATTTAAAATCGTGACAGATTGTAATGCATTCAAACAAACTATGAGCAAGTTACATTTGTACTAAAATATCTAGATGGGCATTAATGTTACAAGATTATGATTACACAATCGAACACAGATCTGGCACCCATATGGGACATGTGGATGCTCTTAGTCGAAATCCTGTATGTATGGTAATTCAAGATGGTATAACATTTAAAATAATTCAAGCTCAAGGAACTGACGAAAATATAAAAGTTATAAAAGAAGTTTTGCAGTCTAAGCCATATGAAGATTATTGTTTGCCGAATGACGTGCTTTACAAAATGGTGAATGGAATTGAAGCACTAGTAGTACCTGAGATTATGCAAATTGTAGCAATCTGTAGCAATCTTGCTTTTGAGCAAGAAGAAAGGAGGTGAGGACTTTGGCGAACGCCGTTTCCTCCAGTCCGTGAGGCGCAGTAAGTTAGAAGTTGGCGAGTAAACAACGCAACTTCGGAGTTCTTAGAATGGAATTTTTAACTACTCATTCAGTCTGTGCTCAAAATTTTCTCGTACATAGCTATTTGCGCAAAAGGATTTCTTGAAAGGAATAACTTGAATTAAAGGTAGTACGTGAGGAGACTTCGAGTGAGGAAATTGTTAAATTTTACTTTTCATTTGTCTTGAGTCGGGCCAATTTAACTTCAGGTGAATGGAATTTTAATACTTTTTCTTAAAAAAAAAAAAAAAAAAAAAAAAAAAAAAAATTTTTTTACTTCGTATTCTGGCGATCGCCGTAAAACCATTCCGTGAGGCCCAGGAAAGTTAGAAGAAGTTGGCGAGTAAACGCCCCAACTTCGGAATTCTTAGATTGAAATTGTTAACTAATTCTGCAGGAAGAATGTATTGAATGTTTTCTTTATCGCAGTATTTGGCGATATAGTTTTCCTTAGATGAAGTTGTTTTTTTTTTTTTTTTTTACATTCATTCAGTCTGTGCTCAAAATCATCACGTACTTTGCAATTTATGCATAAAGGATTTACTTGAAAGTTTTAACTTGAATTTAAGGTAGTTCGTGAGGATACTTCGAGTGAGGATTTTTGTTGATTTTACTTTTCCATTTTTCCTTGAGTCAGGCCAATTAATATTCAAGTGTTTAGTATTTAAAACATTTTTAAAAGAACAATAATACTTCGTGTTCTGCCAGGTGGTCTCAATTTCCTTCTCCCTGTCTTCCCTAATTTCTTTTTTGATATCCTGCCATGTATATATTGGGAGGATTGGAGTATTGCGTGAATTTACCGTTATGCAAATTGAAGTAATTAAAGACGCACATGAACGAGGTCATTTTGCTGCCAAACGTACTGAAGAACATGTGAGACAACATTTTTATATCCCTAAATTGGAAGAGAAAATTGAAAAATGTATCGCAAATTGTATTACCTGTATACTGGCCAACCGGAAATCTCGAAAGAAGGAGGGATTATTACATCCTTTACCTAAAGAAGATATTCCTCTAAACACTTACCACATAGACCATTTGGGACCTTTGGAGAGTTCTAACAAGAATTATAAACAAATACATTTTCGCGGTTATTGATTCGTTTACAAAATTTGTTTGGTTACATCCAACTAAAACCACCTCTAGTAAAGAAGTAAAAGCTAAACTTGAAATTCAAAAATCATTATTTGGAAATCCCTGCAATATAGTAGCTGACAGAGGTACTTCATTTACTTCTCAAGAATTTTCTGATTATTGTACTAAGGAAAATATTCATCTATCCTTAAACACAACAGGATTACCAAGAGCCAATGGACAAGTAGAGCGGTTGAATTCCATTATCATATCAGTCATTTCTAAGTTGGCTATAGATGACCCTACGAAATGGTACAAACACGTAAATGATGTCCAGCAAATAATTAATTCGACTTTTCAGAGGAGTATCAATTCGACACCTTTCGAGCTTTTGTTTGGTACGAAGATAAAGACGAATAAAGACAGGAAGATTAAAGAACTAATAGAAGCTGAAATTCAGAGGGACTTTATCGAGTCTAGAGAAAATCTACGTAAAGAGGCGAAAGAGCAGATTCGGAAGATCCAGGAAGAGAATCGAAAGACTTACAATCGAAGTCGAAAACTCCCTCGTAAATATATGGTATGATCAATGATATGGTAGCTATTAAACGCACTCAACTAGGGCCAGGTATAAAGCTAAAATCCAAGTTTTTAGGTCCATAGAAAATCACCAAGGTGAAATCTAGTGACACATACGACGTGGAGAAGGTTGGTTTTACCGAAGGACTTGTCAAGACTAGTACCTGTGCTGAATACCTGAAACCATGGACAGACGATCTTTGATAATGAAATACCAATTTTGACGATTCCTGATTATAAACTTTTTCCCAAGTTGACAAATTTCTCCCGATTTGACTAATGGACTTGGACTATTATTTTAAAGACGTGAACTAATTTAAGAAGACTGAAGATGATGTCTAAGGATGAAATGTATGAAGAAATACGGCTTAAAGAAGATGATTTTGAGAAGACGCATTCGAATGACAGATCTTGAAGATATCTAAGACGCATTCAGAAGACGTATCCAGACGGTATCTAAAAAGACGCATTCAGAAGACTTATTCAGATGATGTTTAAGAAGACGTAAATACGAAGATGAATTGTTCCAGACAACATCAAAGGAAGACGTGTTTGTAAAATACATGTATTCAGATAGACTGTTAAAGATGAACGAACACTGAAAGAGCATTTAAGAAGTGCTAACGCCGTTATTTCTGAGGATGTTAAGATGATGAGAAAAGATGGCTGAAATAAACCATTTAAGACGACTTTTCCATCAATAGTAACTAAAAATCTTTTTTTTTTTTTTTTTTTTTTTTTTTTTTTAATTTTATTTTTCAGATCCCTAGATGTAGACAGTGGTGCTACGAGAATGCGAGGCCGCATTCCATCAGGATGGACAAGCAGTTGTGGGTTGGCATCGTTCATTTATAATCGGATGACGCGGCAAGCTGTGAGAGGAAATCTTTCTTCGATGACGCAGGCAGGCAGGCGATTCCGCCATTAAGACGATGACGCGATTCAAAGATGTTTGCTTGTAAAATGCGATTCCTTCTCATCGTCTGTAAATAATCTCATCTATTTCCTTCTATGTATGTAATTACTTTGTAGTTTGTAGCAACTATTCATGTTTCATTAAATATTCAAGTTATTTGTAAATTGGACTAGTTTATTAGCCCCTAGACAGCCACATCGGAAGTAAGTTTACGAACATCATATTCCTAGACAGTAAGTACCGATTCTACACTAATTTCATTAGAAATATGTCTAAAAATATCTCATCTTCATAAGAAACATCAACGCTTTGATTTAAATTACTAGGAAAATAAGAACCATTGTTTTCTAAACATGGTTTCTCTCTGACTCAAAAGTTTCTTCTTTATCATATTCGAAATGAACAATTAACTGTAGAAAGCTAATATATTGTACTGATGAACCAGGGTTATACTTATTGTATTGCATATCAAGTGAATATGTGAAGAGAATCATATTTTCCCCTAACTGCTCGTTTTTCAAGTCGAATTTTACTAGCACACATATGTGTTTATTGCACTTTTTAATAAAATCGGAAAGACTGAAATGAGTGTTTTATTACCAAATTTGTACTTTCTGATTTTATTCTACTGAAGCGAAAACATTTATGGCTTATTACGAAGAAAAATTTGTACATGTTATACGTTTGTTACACTTTTTGATCAATTTTCATACCATTTAAATATCTTTGAAAATTTGTTTCCTAGTCCAGTGCTAATACATTACTAATTTTCGCTTTTTCCAGTGCATTTCGTATGTGACAAAAACTCAGTTTAGAAACTTTTACTTACTTGTATTGCATTGCTGAACCAGGGCCATGATTTCAGTTTATATTACATATCATGCGAATACTTTTAAAAAAAGGTTAACTTTTTCTTTCTGTTACTACAATTTTAACCAGTATTTTACTATTACAGAGACTTCTTTAGTGAAAACTTAAAGGTTATACTGAACGTTTCATTACTAATTTTGAAGATTCTGGATATATCCTACTCAAATGTGCATAACTGATTAGCAAAATAGTTTATATATGTACTTTGTTGCATTCTTGGTTAATTTTTAAATCGTTGTTCATCTGTAACACTTGATTTCTAATGAACTATTGAAATGATTATTAACTTTCCGCATTTCCAAAGATTTTCGTAGCCACATATGTTCACTATAGAAAATTTTCCTAACTTACCAATATTATTACCAAGATATTTATATATTTGCTTCTTTACAAACGTGTACATGAAACCCACGTTTAATTATTTAATGTGTATTTTCCTATATTCGAACTAAAATTTCAAACGAAAATTTGTAAGTAATGTCATGTTCTACAATATTTATGTATTTGTGATGTCGTTGCCTTTTCGTATACATTTTGAGAGTACGCTCTCGGTTGTCTTTTAGACACTTCAAAACTGTTTTCTCTTTGCTATTGGTACATTTGGTATTGGAAATTATTTTATTTTTGCTATTGGTATATTTCAATGAATTATCGATACTTTTTGGTTTATCTTCAGCTTATGAATTATTTAAATACTTAAAATATATTTGTAGATAATTTTTGGTGACACTTAGGATAGATTTCTTGGATGTTTTTAGAAATGTATTTTATTTTATTTACGGGAACGAAACTGATGCTTTCTTAAAATTTTATCAATCTGAGTATTAGTCAAGTATGAAAGAATGCCGGAATTGTTCTCATTGTTATTACTAAAGCATAATCTTATCATTAAATACCATTAAAATAAAAATGCTTCCTTCACTTATCCCAGATACCGAGCATTCCAGAAAAAACAAGACAAAACTTGCTCACTTACCTGGGTAGTGTGATGTTGAATCGGAATAAAAACTCTAAGAAGTTGATTTATCTAATTATATTCTATCTACACTACCAAAATACACTCATGTCCATAAATTAAGAATAATGCAAATCAGCAAAGGAGGAGTTAGAAGTAAAACAAATTTGACTTATTTGTTAAGCTTATTTATTAAACAAAAGGTAAAGAGCAAAAAAAGATGCTATATGTTTGATATTATTAAAAAAATTAGCGATTTTTTCTCCCTTGAACAAATTACAAAAAAAAAAATCTATTTACAAAAAACCAATATTACATAGTTGGTATGATTGTTAATACATTGGATGTCTCCTTGACGATGCAATACAGTCCGTACAACGCCTAGGCATGCTGAGTATCAAATTATCGATCTGATCTTGGGGGATATCACACCACTCAAAAAGCAATGCCTCCGAAGTTCCGGTAGACATGTAGGAGGAGGTTGACGGCCTGCAACTCGTCGTCCAAACATGTCCCACACGTGCTCTACTGGATTCAAGTCCGGTGAGAATGCTGGCCAGTCCATACGGGTGATATCTTCCAATTGAAGGCATTCGCTTACGATGTTTGCACGGTGCGGACGGGTGTTGTCATCCATAAACACAAATTGTGCGCCCATGGCGCCCCGAAACAAACGTACATGTTGTTCCAGAATGACGTCCCGATAGATTTGGCTTGTCATGGTTCCAATTTGAACATGCAAGTCAGTTCTGGAACCTAGAATAATTCCACCCCAAACGAGCACTCCTGCACCACCGTAACGGTGTCGTTTCAATGATGTTTTCTTGGTGGTAACGGGTACCTGGAGTTCTCCATATGAAAGTAAGGCGAGAATCAGACTGCAAGTTAAACCTGGACTCGTCGGACCTGGACACAAGCCCACTGTTGCGGTGTCCACAATGCATGCTCTCTACTCCAGGCTAACCGCAGGCGACAGTGAGTTGCAGTAAGTGGAACGCATCTGACAGGTCTATGAGCATATAGACCAATCTGCCCTAAGCGTCTGTACACGGTCTGCCTTGAAATTGTCGTACCAGTGGCTGAAGAGAGCTGACGAAACAGGTCTGAGGCTGTGCTCCGCCTGTTTCTTTTGGCAGTAACTGCCAAATACCGGTCCTCATTCGGCGTTGTAACTCTGGGGCGGCCTGTGCTGTAACGTCTACTCACATTACCATCATCTTGGAATCGTTGCCAAAGCCTGGAGATGACACTCTGGGCAATTCCAAGTTCGTCTGATTCTTCCAGTTGGGTACGCCCACATTCCAGACGGCCGATAATTCTACCACGTAAAAAATCATCTAAATGCGTCCTTTGTGTCATAACTATTCGGTTATTGCACTGAAATGCTTATAAAGCGTCTGCGAACAATTTTACTTCTTTGCCTGTATTCCTTATATATCACTCTCTTACACTCTCGTCATTGTGACGTACCATCGGTGTCATCTGATTACTTCCTGAAATTTGCATATGATTCTTGAAGATGTGTGTAGTGATTTTACAGGTGATATATTTATTTTAGAGTTCGATTTCCGCGTGACTCTGAATTATCCTTAATTAATGGGCATGAGTGTATATACATTATTTAACAATTTTCAGGAAATTTGTCTGGCCCCTAAAGTTATTACACAACTCAATCGGTTCACGTCACGAGGTCGAAAGGGAAAAACCCTTTTTCTCTTCCTACTTCAATGATAGCCAACGCCATCTGTGTCTCGTACATCAAATGAAGAAATTTATTTTTAATGTTTGTAAGATACAACTAATCAGTTTCACAACACTCCCACCTTTCTGATTTTCAAAAGCAAAATCAAAAATCAAATAATGGTATCCTTAGTACAGGAACACACTTCTAGAGGGTACATTTTACGTACAGGACGAATCAGTACGCCATTTCTAGTTTTCACTTTTACAACACTTACACGTCCATCTCTGCTTGTACAAAGTTCTTGGACACGAGCGATTGGCCAGTTCACTCTTTTAAGGTTCTCACAACCTATTAGCACGATGTCTCCAACTTTTAATTCACAGTCCTTCTGTCCATGCTTTTGTACTAACTGTCCAAGGTACTCCTTGCGGAAACGGCTACGAAATTGTTCTCAAAGTTCCTGGCAGAAACGCTGACGAGCCAAGAGTTTATTTCGATCTAAAGTATAAAAATCTGCTGTACCTGAAACCTTAACGTCCTGTAAGAACATGGAAGGCGTTAATGGTAGAAGATCCTCAGAGT